GCTCGGTGCGGCAATGGTGTAAATAAGTAGCACAATTTGACTTGGTTAACCCGAAAGCCAGCTAAATGTTTGGGGTTAGATGTGTGTGGCCAGTGGATCCGCAAATGTCAGGGGACAGGACACACACGAAGGTGGGTTCTGGGTAGTTCTTTGGTAACATGGAGTGGATTAGCTAAAATAAAACAGTTCTTGGAAAAAATATTGTGGCGTTTATCTGGGATATCTATTGCAATAAAGGGGAATTAGGCAGGAAAAATATTACTATTCTATTTATAGAACATTTACATAGGTTGATTAACAGGTTTTTCAGGGTATTTAATTAGTTTAAGTAAGCCTTTCCACGCTTCATTACTTTAAGAATTTATAAAGAAAACTATATACAAATTTCTATAGATTTAAAATCTCTCTCTCAACTAGACAAACACCTTCTAATATCGGATATCTGAATGAAATTTAGAGGTTCGCCTGCCCTGCGGCATTTACTGCATAACAATGAAAATTACCCCTCTGATGACGACAAAGATAATGGCGACGATGACGATGGTGTGGATGTGAATGGGGAGGTGGCTGGGAGGTGGATGTCCCCATCTTCTCGTTCCAGGTGAAATGGGCAATCTCTCTTTCCACGTTCGTTCCCTCACGAGCTGTTTGCAAGTCAACAGAGCTGCTGCAAACCTGCCCCCTTTTCGCCGCCGCCGCCTCTGTTGACTGTGTCAATATTGACGCAGACCGTATCTCTTTATGACATATTTTTTTTTGGCTACTGTCAGCAGCGCTTTCTGGCATTTCTGGGCTTTGTTTACATCCTCTCGTCGTGGTGCTCTGTGCCCTTTGAGCTGATATATATATTAGCGTACTCATACCTATATATACCACATGTATATATGGATGATGATTGTACGACGACTTACTTTCCGGCAACCTTAAATCCCTCTTGTGTTGCCTGAACTTTGCTTTGATGTCTCCTAGAATTTCTCTGGGTTTCGGGGTTAGTGGGTAATGCAGTTGGAATTCGTTTCGGCAAGGTGAATTATGACCCCCGAAGATGTATCTAATGACGTGGGAGGCACACAGAGAGAAAAACAAAAGGAGGAGTCCAGCGGGACCCAAATCGAACTCATTGGCATTATAGACTCGTCGTGGGTTGGGAATACTCTATGAGAAGGGGTACATTTCCAAGTTGTAATTGGTTTTTAATATATAATTATAATTTTTCTGAAACTGAATAGTTTAATCATCAAACAAAGGATCTCTAGAATTTTTAAAAATATTTTAAACCCTACTTCACAACCTCTACAAAAAGAGCATATTAATTTCGTCATTTTCCTTATAACCCCGGGAATTCCCTAGATTTCTTTTGGGTGGCACTCGATGACTGGCACGCAAACTGAATCGGAAAAGCCAGGCAACGAATCTAGGCCCATAAATAAGTCAAATAGCGCCCAGTTTTGGAGCGGATCGCCTAGAGGACAGACAGATAGTTAGTTAAATGGGCGGGGATCCGTGTTGTTGAGGTGTTGGGTCCGTGCAAAGTCCACAGACAGTTCTTGGAAGCCGGGCGACAGTTCCATCACAACGGACCCACATATCAGGCCAGGCGACAAGTGAAGTGTCAGCCAGTGACAGGTGGTGGGTCTCCCGTCACCCTCACCTGAAATCCCCGCCAGAAACTCGACTCTAAGTGGCCATAAAGCAGGCAGATCACGTGAATGGTCGCTAGGTGTCGATCGATTCCCTGACAAATTAGAAGAGTCGCAGGAATTTTAAATGACTCACTGCACAAGGATCTCGGATGTACGTGTGGGTATTCGATTACCAAGAGGAAAAGACCTGACCCGACCTCAACCTGATCGACAGGCTGATTCGTATTGAATTCACTGGTTGGTTTATTTCCGCAAACGCGCGGTGTAGTGACGATCGATTTGCCAGACAAATTGACCACAAAACTACCTGAAAATGTGAATGCGATTTTAGCAGAGAGAAGAACCCACCGCAGAGTGACAGACAGTCAGAGACTGCATTGGAAACCCTAGAAGTGTACATGGAAATCATGGCCAATTCCTCACGATCTCTTGAGTTGGAGGTCTCGTATCGAATTTCAATGACGCGACCACATTCCGCGCACTTTGCAAGGTTTCGTAAAAGCATATGGCTTTTCTATTTCTACAGAGGAAATAAAATATAACAAAAATTAAGATGGGAAATATCTAAGAGATGAAAGAGAAGCTGATAAATTGCTCTAGTTTCTAATTGGTTCATTCTGTTGTTCATTTTAATATTCACTTGACGCTTAAATTTCTACTCTATTTTCTTCCAGTGCAGCTCACTCAGTTCTCTGCTAAATTCAATCCATCTGCACTTGGCATTGTTCCAGTGGCACGCTCTCAGCTTTGATTTCTGCTCATTTCTTGTATTTTTTTTCTTGCTCGCCCAATGCTTTATTTCTGTGTGGTCAAGTTGCCTAAACGGGGCGCCCAGTGTGAAATTGGATACGATTTTCGGGGCACAAACTCAATTAATTTAGAGTAGGGACAGAGGACCAGAAACCGGATCGCATTTTGACATAATTGAGCGAGTTGGCGGGGGCGGAAACATTTCCGCTTTGGTGCCGACAAAGCTGCACACAGCCGGCTGCCACGTTCCAGCAATCGCGTCAATAAATCTCAATATCAAAATATGCTATATGACCACCCGTATGTGGAATATGCCACGAAACATAGCACACACCAGGTCCAGGGACAATAGTTGGAGGAGCTCTGCATTGGAAAAATGCAAATAACTGCACGAAGTATCTGTGAGATACGCGCATAAATTCACAAACTATGGTTTCGATATGCGATGCGATAGGATAGCACATATCGGGGGGCTATAAATGCGGGATGGATGGCGAGGGGCTGGTACTCGGGATTCGAGTTCGAGTTTGAGTCTTTCGGTCTTTTTAAATGCCGCTCTGAACAAACAATGAACCGTGTTGACAGGTCTCCGCTCCGAAGTCTTTGTGGTATGATTGATTTAACCTGAATCGACTGACAGGTACGACGACAAGCGAACTGAACTGAGCCGAAAGATATGGAAATCCCCAAGATACTTGCGCTTATGCTAACGATATATGGGGGTCTCTCAGTCTTCTGTTTTCTGTTTTTCTGTCTTTGTGTGTTTGTCGGAGCTCTAAGCCAGCGAAATTTAAAACGAACGAGTTATGCGGAATGTATCTCAGCCTAGTTGGAAGCCAGAAACGAACTCTCGGTTCTGCCACACTGAGCAATCTATCAATCATGGATTGAATTGTCCAAGCAGCTTCTAATAGAATTTACCGTTGCTACTCATTACCGAGACGACGATGATGGCAATATAATTATGCCCAAGACTGTGGCGGTGGTCAGAAGTGCATCAGAAAAAGAAAACAAAGGCAGGAATCCCAGACAACCGCAGCGAAATTGATTGACAGCTGAATGATTTAATGAGCAGCAAGATAAACGATGCCCCGGGAAAACCGCATCGAAATGAATTACTTATTTTCATTTGAATTTCTGAATTTCAGAGTTTCCGAATCCCACTATCTTTGGCGGTCCATAAAAGATGCTTATCTCTCTGCACTCACTGGGAACAGTTTTTTTTTTTTTCTGTAACTGAATTTTTCCTGCGACGTCATGACGACCACGCATTTTGTGTCAACTTAGGAGGAGTGTATCTTTCCCCCCTCCTCACTCACTCTCTGGGGATATCGAATTGATAAACTGAAAACGTCGAGATAGTTGGGGGAAATCAGGAGGGGTTTCGGGGTGAGAGAGTAGCAATAGTTTTGAGTAGTTGGGGGCTTACTTTGTATGCATGGAGCTTCTCTATGCGTACACCAAACCATTCACCAGCCATAAAATGTTGGTTAAAGAGTGTAATTATTATTAATAAATATTACTTTTAAATTCTAGATTTATTATTATTTTTTAAACCTAAAAAATCGGAGGAGAACAGCAGCAATTAAAAGCTGATAACAATTTTCTTTCTTTCTTTTCCAATTTTACAAATATTTTTTCTAATTATTAAAATATAATAAACATTTACCAAAGCTTCCAAGGTACCAAATTTATTTAAATTAAAAAATTTAATTATTCCCTATGATTTATTTTTTAATTAATTAGCTTACAAAACCTCTCCTCTACATCAACTTCCTCGGTTTTCAAACCCTCTTTCTTTTTTTTCCCACACAGTATTCTCAGTTTTATTACCAACTCTTTTCTTTGGCCTACTGCTGCGCTGTGATTTAATGTGATGTGACTTAACTTCTGTTTAATTTTCCATTAAATAAGTTTACACATAATTAAATTCGCCGCGCCATTTAAATACACATCTTCCAGCAGAGCGCAACAATTGCATTGAAAGAGCTTTTCATTTCTTTTTCCCATTTTCATTGTTAATTTTTATGTCGTTTGCGTGAGACCTCAGAGGCAGTTCTCCCCCCACCTTAACCCCATAAAGCCCCGACTGACCAAGGGCCACTTGTCGAAAAGAAGACGAAGAGGAGAAGCTGGAGGGGAAGGGGAGATGCCCACACGGCCCTCACACACTCACGCACGTCGGAATATAATTTATGTATCGGCCGGAATAATGCTTTACAATCGTGGCCTGTCATTTGGTCTTTGGGGCGCTACCTGGCATCGAAAATTTAGTGTGGGATGATTTGATTTCGTTAAAAATGCATTTTATGCATCTGAATTTTGGGTTAAATGTGAAAATAAAAATAATTTTTATTTAATAAGTTTGGTGATGGTTTTTGCGGAGATTTTTGTTAAAGAAATGTAAGCCATGAGAGCTCGAAGTCTCGAAATCTTCAAATGCAAAAGAGAGACTCTTCCTTATGAAAATCTATAAGGTTTCAGCTGAAAGTAAGTCCTATGGCTTGAAAACGTCATTAAGAACCAATTCCTATTCTTTTACTAACTAAAAATTAATGCAGAAATAATTTAATATTATTTTTTGTAACAAAATCCATCCCTCTTTGCTTGTGTTTGTGTTTTGTGTCTGTCAAAATTCCGACATTTCTATTGCTCAAACTCGGGAGACACAGAGAATAAGTGGTTTCTCTCCCCGGGGCACAGACGACGTACAAACTTTCGGAGACAAAAATGCAAAGTGCCCCCCAGTAGGAGTCGCGATGCTATCAAAAATTCTACGTAACCACCTGAACCACCTGGCCAGCAACCACAGTCACCGGCAATCATCAACCCTTCTGAACTATCATTATGAACCTCACTGCCACCAGACCCATCTGCTGCAGCAGCTCAAAGTCCAGAGGTACACCAGCTTCCAGCGTAAACTGGTCTACGGATGTGGTGGTGGTGGGTGCGGAGACTACCACCGGGAGCTGCACAACTGGGATCGGCACAGCTCGGAGCACGAGGAGCGCAGGAAGACTATCCCGAAGCTGGTGTACCTGCACAATCCCTGGAAGTACCTGCTGACCAAGCTGAACCTGTGGAAGCTCAAGTGGCTGTGGGACCGCGAGTTCCGGGAGACGGAGTTCGTGGAGGGCGCCAAGCAGGCCGCTGTGGTCCTCACGGACATCATTCGGCTGCAGCAGGCGGATCGGATCAGCGACTTTACGACTCCGGTGGGCTTCCAGCAGATCACCCGGGACATGCTCCTCTCCCGCAACGACACGCGTCTCCAGTTGGTCCGGTTCCAGAGGGAGCACCTGCGCCGCGCCATTCCCATGAAGGTGGCCACGCGCCAGAACTTTGGCCGGAAGTACGCCTTCATCGATATGCTGTTCGTGGGCCTGCGGAACACCAAGGACTTTGACACGGCCACCGAGGTGGTGGAGGTCAACGACATAATCCGGCGAATGGACAACGAACTGAGGACTCCGCCGCATGTGGTGGCCGTGCCACATCGCATAGTCTTTGCCGAGATCTTCATCCGCTTTCGACGCGATTACACGGCGGAGGCGCGACGGGAAATCTTGGCGAATAAGGCGGCCCAGATCCAGGCGCAGGCCCGGAACCTGCCTCCTAACTTGCCCCAAGATCACTCCAAGACGCCGGCCTCGCCCTTTCTGCAATCCGCCATTGATGCCATGAGCCTAAGCCAGGACTCGGCCAAGGCGCAGCCCATGTCCCTCTCCGGCCGAGTGGCCCCCGGCATGGACGACGTGGGCTGGTCAGTGTCGTTCTACAAAATCCTAACCTTTGACGTTCTCAACTACGATCCCAACCCAGGAAGACACCAGCACCATCAGTCGCACGACAAGCCGTAGCGTTTTAGCGTGCAGATCAAACCCGGATTATTCCGTTGTCCAAATTAAGCCCTCGGGTGACGTTTCGAGACAACAGATAGAGTCTTGGTCTTGTTTGTGTATCAAATGGTTCTATAGCAAATTAATAAAGCAATATTTTAGTTTGTTTGGCAATTAAATTGGGGTTTTAATAAGAGAAAATATATTTAAGATGAGGAAAACCAGAAGGTTATTAAGATTTTCAGAGGAAAGAATAAGGGAGAAATAATGAGCCACTAAATATAGATTTACTATTTAATTACTCTTTATTTTTCAGATTTCTAATCACAGATTTAAGCAAGATTACTAATAATATTTTATTTATATTTTTAACCCATTAAATATCGCTTATTATAAACCAATTTTCGCACGAGTCTTTCAAAACCCGCTTTGGCTTCCCACAAGTTCACACCTTCTTTTTTGGGCCACACACACACTCGCCACGGGAATTATTTGTACAAAATGATGTTGTAATGAGGCACATTACACGATTTGATCTTGTTAGCCGATGTCTGAATGTTATTTTTGTCGCTATTGTTGTTGTCTTTACATTTGTCGCTGGGCTCTAATTGGTTTTCCAACATGAGCTTTCGGGGCTTGGGGTTTTGGCCCTCTGGGACCTAGGGCCCGGCCTTGGCGTGACCCAATCAATTTAAATATTCCGAAATGATTGAAGGAATAAACATCAATAAATTGACAAATGAATGTATGTACAACGATGTTTTTCCATCGTGCCTAACACATTTCTGCATAATTTGAACATGTTGGTAAACGCTTTTTGGATATTTACTGTGGCGTTGGTTCCATTTTTGGGTTATCTTCCAAATCGGAATATGTACAATTAAAAAGCCATGAGGGCTGGGAAAGAGGCTTGTGACAACTGATGTTGGTTAGGGGGAAAGCTGAAAGGGAAACACGGAAATCCCATATACATAGATGAAGAATGAAAGCTAACCAGACGGCGGCTTAACCTGAGATTAAACATGATAGGGAAATAGTTTTGAATAAAAACATTTTGAACATTTTTCGATATTTAGAGATCTACAGATAATTCCCATATTTTCGATAGAGTAAATTAAGGCAGGTTAATGATTTTACTTAAGCGAAATCCACTAATTTCTTGTCCTCAATTGTTGAAAATAGAATCCCCAAAGATTGCAACCTTAAATTAATTAAGAACCTGCAACATCCCACCCATTTAGTGGTGTTATTTCCACTGCACTTTAGAAGGATAATGGATAATGTTGAAAGTGACAGCAGGTCAGGCTGACACTTCTCTTTCATCTCTGTATATCTCTCTCTCTGGTCCATTTCCAATTAGTTGTACAACAGGAAAAGCTATTTGCCCAAGTTAAATAAGACCCAAATCCCAATCCAAATAATCCCGGACAGCCAGAGTGGCCAAGGAGCGTGAAAAACAGGACGCGGATCCGGAAGGAGCGAGAAGAAGGAACCAATTCGAATAACAAGAAGAGCCACCGTCAAAAGGGAAAGAAATAATTTAAATAGGAAAACACAAACAGCTGTTGCAGTTCGGAGAGCCGACACTGTACTGGCAAAAGGGATAATCTCATTATAATGAAACGCAAGTTATGCACGCGCAGCCGGCAGCCGCCGCTAGATGGCGCCAGTCAAGGCGTCACTCAAGTGTCGCCCGCGCCGGTCTCTTCCTCGGCTTAGGCGTCAAAAAATTTGAAAAATAAAAGTAGAAGACTGGGAAAGCAGGCAGGATGGGGGGGAGCAGGAAGAATAGGAGCACCAAGAAGCTGGGCAAAAAAAAGCTGACAAAAAGAACAACAAGCCGATGAGAAAGGAAACCGAAGACACAGCTGGCAGAGTCTGGAGTCCCCAAGCTACCCGAGACGCGCGACTTTGGCCTGGGCTCTCTCCTCTTGAGCTGACATGCAAAAGCGGCCAAGAGTAAGGCAACAACAAATAAAGAGGAGGAAAAAGAAGAAATTATAAAAATTTATGTACGTCCCTCCGCCTCCTCCTCCGCCCAGGCTTTTTGCCCATTCAATCTCTGCGGCAGCCAGCTTCTGTCAGACTGTCCGCCAGATTTGTTGTCCATTTCCAAAGATGTCAGCTGGCAAATGCCTTCAGTCCGGTCATAAATAACAAATGGGCAGGGACAGGACAGGATCCCTTGGTTGCCCCTGAAGAATAGAGTATTTATTGGGATTTACAGGGATTTTTAAGGATATAAAAATATATACAGAAATTATTTATAGAATTCTATAGAGAAACCTGTAATTATAAAATATTTATAAATCAAGATTTGTTATTTTAAATATTTTTAAAATTTATTTTTAATCTTTCAAATTCTATGCCACAATTTTATATATTTTTAAAATCAATTTCTTTCCCTAAAAATTAGTTCAACTAAATACAACAAATTACCCTTTTCTATGCAACTTTTTAAGACGACCCTTTCAACCCAGAAAGATATGGAAAAAATTAATTATACAGTTTAGAAAGGGAAATGGAAGTCGAAGGAAATCAGTAAACCGGCTTAATTTCAAACTCATTTGCAAATATTTACCGGGCAAATCGCCAGACGAAGCTGAGCCTAAACCTAAACCTGAACCTAAACCTAAACCTGAACCCTTTTGGCGGACCCTAAAGACCGGATCCAACGAAAAAAAGTATAAAAAGATGATGAGTGTAACAGGTGCACAGGCTACAGCTGATGGGCTCAAAAGTTTCCAGCGTTTTAGCCCCATTTTCCTTTTTTTTGCTGTATTTTTTTTCCTTTAATTTTCCAAAGATTAATTACAAGTCTGGCGTAATGAGAGGATTTCCGGTGCAGGATTTTCTGCGTCCTCCGCAGCCGCTCATATTTCTTGTGTTTAATAAAAATTGAATGAAATTTATGAAATATTCGTGCGATGTGCATAGAAATGCGTTCGTTTCGCTGGAGGAGATTCCAGAGCCGAAGCCGAAGCGGAGGCCACCCACCCACCTGCAGTCTCTGTCTGAATCTCAGCCTCGACTCGCCTCGTTGATCTTCATTAGCGGAGCCGCCGCCGTTGCCGCCGTCGCCTTTGCCGGTAAAATGTCTTTATAGACATTCCCCGGGAGTCGCCTGGGCCAAAGCTTTAAATTTATGGCAACGCATTTGCGGCGCGCGCGCTCTCTTACGGCCATAATAACACAAAAAAATCACGAACAAAAAAATATATATATATGCCCAGAACCAAGAAAGTCTGGCTAATAAAGCGTCGGCGTTGGTTGGGTCTCAGTCTATGTCTATATTCCCCCCCCTTTCCTTTATTAGTTCATTGCTGGGCTGAGACTCCCCCGCCTGGCTCTTGTGCCCATATCCATTTACACTTGAATATTTATCGCCTTAACTTGGCCAAGAGGGGCAGCAGAGAGGGACAGAGACCCCCCCGGAGCGCGAAAGGGAACCCAGAGTGAGCCCCAATATAGAGTTGTCACATAATTCTCGGAGCTAACAAGCCAAATGCGCTATTTAGCACAACATTTACAGAATGTCGCGAGAATTGCTTAAAGGAATGGTCACTTCAGGTGCATTGCGCAAGAGTTTCGAGGGACAGGTGGGCGCCAGTGGGTGTCAAGTATTTGGGGAATGTGCAGAGGGAGTAACTCTGATATAATTCTAGGGTAATATTAACAATTATAACCCCTTAATTCTTATTTAATTTAATAATTATCAGAAAATTATTACTTTTTAATAGAAGATGGTCTTACGATCTTCTGAAAGTGAGCATAATTTTTAAATAATTTATTTAATAAATATAAGAAAATTATTACAATTTAAAGAAGACTCTCTTACGATCTTCTGAATGAGAGAATTTTGTTTCTTTTCTGAAAAATTCCCGGAAAAAGACCCAAACAAAACCAAATAATCATAAACGCCAACCTTTTAGAGAGCGATACCCATCGAGATTAATTCTTGGCGGCTCTGTTTTAAACGAACTCAAAGCCACAGCAGATGCTTTAAATTTAAAAATGTTAAATGTTTAAGATCTGGGCCACAGTTCGATTGCTCTGCTAAATTGCCACTTGGCGCCAAAAATTTATTACGCTCGGCATGTCTCGTTCGCTGTCAGCGTTTAAGGGAATCTGCATAAATCGAAAAAAAAAACTTCCACAAAAATATTGTGTCTTTAATTTAAAACACATTTTTGAGAGCCCCCAGGGTGCGGTGGCAAAAGCACAGCAAGAAAATATTCAAGATTAAGTTTAAAGGGAAAAATTGAAATGATAAATAGAAAATTAATGATATTTTAAAACTTTAAAACCTTAGTTCAAATCTAAGCCTAGAACTACTAGCATATACAACTTTAACATAAGCTTTGTAGTTGTTGTTTTTGATCTAAGATTTTATTAAATTTAATATAATTTCTAGAAAAACTATATTTTTAATTGATAAGAAAAATACCCTTATAAAAAATATTGCCATATATATTTCTTAAAATTAAGAAACTTAGCTCTTTACCCTTTTTTCTTTCTCTGCATTCGAAGCACTGAGGAGAAACATTAAAAATAACGAAAAGCTAAACTGAAACATAAATAAATCTGAAATGTTTTATGCACTCAAAAACACACACACTCACTCACATATGAGATTCGAAAAGTTTTGTTTTGTTTTTGAAAGTTCTTTGGCGACGTTGCTGTTGTTGTTTTCTTTGCGCTCCTCCTCGTTGGCCGCTTAAACATGCAATTTCTTTCGGTTTTCGCTGCGTTCGATTGCTGCGGTAAAAGCAAGGGGAAAGCTGGGGGTAAGGGGTAGAAGGGGGAGGCAAGGGAAAGTCGCAGCAGCAGCAGCAGCTGCAACAACAAGCGGCGGCGACAAGGACAAAAGCCAGCAATGGATTATTAGTGGCACTTAAGCAAACACGCGGGGCAAAAGGTCTGACCAGAACGAGGGAAGTGTGTGTGTTCCAGCCACAAGGATGTTGTGTGTGCCAGTGTGTGTTGTTGTGCAACATGTGTGTGTGAGACTTGCGGTCGTTGTTGTTGCTGCCGCCTGATTTATCGCCGAGTTGTGGGCGTTTTTAATTAATTTCACTCTGCACAACAGCACAGATTTTCAGCTCATAAAGAACGCATTTTTATACAATATTTAAACAGCGAATAAAACAAAAAATAATAATAAGAATTGTCGT